TGTCAGTATGTTACATGTCACGGGTATGCCACTCCAGCTGGCTGCTCCATGTGTTGGGGCCAGTTTTTCCTGCATTAATTGCGTTACAGGTGGCCAGCTCTCTATTGGCAATTGCAGCCTGTAGGCTTGGCGTAGGTAACATGGCATGGAGTGGCTTACCTAGACTTTCGGTCGGTCTTGCAAATAGGTTTGTTGTACCTACGGAATGGATGGGCGAGCTCCATCTGTTAAGTCTGAAGACACTTAAGGACGTACACGCCATCTGTTTGGGCAAACTTCATAACGATTCCCAGACGTACATCTTCTTGAGAAGGTTCCTGATACCCTCTCTGTGCATTCCACTATTTCGGCCGTGTATCTGAATCACCATTTGGGCTACTAAAGTCAGAGGTTTTACTAGAATCGCCACAACTCCACCACAGAGTCACCGCAGTAGACGTTAGCATGAAGCCGTGTCGCTATCGCCGGCACTTGTTTATATCTCCTGCTCTCCGGCTATGTGCGTTTGATAATATTAATGTAGTAACGAAGAGAAAATAATTAGATATGAATTGTTGATGTCATTCTGATTGGCCTCCCTTCTCTATGGTGGTCTCGCTGTCTTGTCTGCAGTGGAGTGATGCTTACTATGTGCCGTCGGTATTAGCATTCTCATTTTACGTTGTTCGTGTTTAACGTTGCATGTCCGGCTCCTGGCTTCGGGCGTTGTCGGCGCAGGTGATATCGTGGTCAGAACCCGCGTAACGGTACAGCGTGGCCACTTCAGGGGTAAGGTGGCCGGGGGGAAACGGCGATCGGGCGAGCCTCTAACGCCCATTGTTGCCCGCGGTGTTGCTATCGTGTTGGACGGGTCGGCTGGCCAGGTTCTGTGTGGCGCTCGTCTCGGCGGCGGCGGCCAGTGCTATGTCGGCTGTGGCTCTGTTCGCATTGGATTTAAATTTCTCAGGCACCTGGGCAAGAAAATGTAAAAATAGTTCTCAAGCAAGCAGTTTTTGTTGCGGCCGCCAGACGAGGTGCGTGTAATGGCTCTGTTGCGGCGTGCGGCACCGTCACCTACGGGCGCGGGCGGCCAGCAGGCCGGCTGTGGCCGCTTCACTACGATGTGCGCAGCAGGGTCGGGGTTCACGTCACTAGGGGGCGGCGGCGTCGCGCAGTGCGTGGCGTCACCCTAGAAGCGCAGCTAGTCATTAGGATTTTGATATTGTCTGATCTGTGCGATCGGCGCGGTCGCACGGGCCCGCGCTGCGATGCGTTCACCCCTCCAGATCGCGCCGCTACGGGTGCGACCTCCGCGCGCCGTCTACGGGGAGGGCGAGGCGTCTTACGAGCTGGTGGATGTGGCGCTCATTAGGGTTGTTATCGTGCATAGAATTAATGTACTGTTATGTATAGTAGGGTATATAAAGTGATAGAGCCTTCGTACATTTGCGCAGGTCGCCTCGCACCTCTCCTAGACTGTATTTCGTATCTGAGTGTGTTGCTAATGTCATGCTCTATTCGTGGAGTTTTTGATCAATATGTCATGTAGAGAGCTCTTAGGATTCGCCTAACGCAGATGAGAGAGGAGGCAGGTCTTACGCCATGCTTCTACTAGTGCTGAAACTTTTCCCCTGTCACCGTTTCGCTAACAATTCGTGAAACTTTGTATAAATGTGTGTGTGTATATATATATATGTATATGTAGTGCATAATAAGTATATTACCTCGGTATACATTATGTGCACTGTGGGGTGTGATGGGCCCTACCAGTATACATCCGGTAATCGTTAATGCAGTTTAATCATGCATTTTTACCCTAAGGTGGTAGGAGGAGGCATTCGCAGGTTGCCTAAGCCTTAGATCTCGCTCGTCCGACACAACGACGTTGACAGGCGCGCCTCGATTGATTTTACTGGCTTGGTGTGAGATGGCGCCCACTGTGCGGTAACACTCTGTTGGGGGATGCGTCTTGCGTTGCCATGGCATCCCGAGAGCGGGATGTTCGTGCTGTTTGTGGTGCGATGTGCGGTCGCCGGTTAAACTTTCTTTTATATTATAATGTAGAGGCAGGGCTCTTTTATAGCAGTGACGAGTCCGGGACACCTGTGGCCAGGGAATGTGGCCGGCGACACCTGAGTGGTCAGTCTGTGTGACACCCTGGTCGGGTTGGCGTCTGGCGGCGACACCTGGTGCGTCACAGTCTGTGGAGACACACTTTGAGTGGTCGCAAGCTTCTGTAGTCGGTAGTTTATCTAACGGGCGCAGGGATTTATTTTCCCGTTCACGACGCGAGCTTTACGGGGGCGGCAGCAGTGCATACTCATGTTGTGTGCGAGTGGGGTGAGCGAGAGAGAAAGAGAAGAGAGAGAGAGAGGAGAAGAGAGAGAGATGAGATGAGAGAGATGCAGAGAATAGAGAGGAGGAGAGAGAGACGAGAGAGAGAGAGAGATAGATAGAGAGGAGAAGAGAGAGAGAGAGAGAGAGAAACGAGAGAGAGAGAAAGGAGAGGACAGAGAGAGAGAGTGAGAGAGGACAATGACTGGTTCTCCCCCTCTCCTCTTCTACAGCGTATGTTACCCGACCACGTGTGAGCAGTGAGGTAATTGTAATGTTCTACACGTGCTTGGCGGTGGCCTAGCAACCAGGGGCGCGCCGTTGCTCAGAAACTTTATTTTTTCCGTTAAGTGCATAAAAATGATTGCGCGGCATTTCGGTTGCGGCGGTCGTAAATACGTGAATGATTTTTTAATTTTGAATATGCTTGATGAATTGCATTTTGAATAGGATGATGTTTCTGTCAGCGGAACCAGCCCTGGGTTGTGGCAGCAGGGTGGAGATGCCTATATCTAATATATATATATATAATATATATATATATATATATACTTATCAAGAGCGCTATAAAGAAGCGGTACTATATTATTATAAGCTTGATACTATATTATAGATATTATTGCCTGGTAGGGTCTAGTTGTCTCCCTTGAGGCTACTGCCGGAACTACCCTGGTTACGCTATCTAATATGCCGGGACCGCTCCTCGCCTACTCCACTTAACGAGTCCTAGGGAGTCGCCTACTGCCTACTTCCCTAACCTAACCTAACCCTAACATATCAGTAGTTAACAGGCGTACGTTCGGTATACCGACGTACCCAGGATACGTTCCGGCAGTACCCAGGGAGACATGTACCTTATCTGCGATATCTATGGATAGATGTACTGTGTTCATGAGGGTAACAAGGAGCTCGGCACGTAGCGGCACCTGGCGGTGATTGTAGGAATCGTTGGCGGCAGCGGTGCCAAGTTTGTTATGTGAAGAGTTTGTAAACGTGTGATGTATATGGCAATCGTCAGAATAAACATAACTTATGCAAATTAACTGCTATTACTGCTTCTCGTGTTATATATGTATACGTCTTACGTCTTTATGTAGTTTAGGTTTGTGGTTAACAACAACAACAACAACAAACAACAACAGACACAACAGCAACAAGAACAAACAACAACAACAACAACAACTTCAGGGCATCAATGTATTAATACTAAGTGCTGGAAATCACATATTATATAAAAATCAGTCGAGATATTGTGCTCAGATCATGAAGCACATATATTTAAATAGTAATCACTATAAAACATCAATCAGAAATGATAAATGCAATAATTATGATAAGATATGGCCATATTCAAACTGCATGGAGCGCGCCCTTCTTACAACTCAGAAATTCTTACAAGTTTACAACCCAGAAATTCAGAATTGAATTGTAAATTGAGCCAGAGCGAGAGCGCCATCTGTCGTGGATTTTGGGCCATATTCGGGTAAACAGTTCTTTCCCTTGCTCACTTCCTTACTCCCCTCTCGCGGATGGTATCGCCCATGACCAGTCAAGCGTGAAAAAACTTTTGCAGGTAAATGGCCGTATTTCAGCCTCAACTTTTTCACCCCGCCAAAGCACAAAATATGATTATACGGCTATAATACGCGTTTTTACAGTCACACAAACACACATACACACCCACTAATGGACGCGCACACGCGGGCGTGGTCGCACGCACGCGTGCGCGTGTATTATAGGCGTAAATTCATATTTTGTGCCTCGGTGGGTGAAAAAGTTTAGGCTGAAATACGCTCATTTTGCTGCAAAAGTGTTTCCATGCTTGACTGGTCGTGGGCGATACCATCCGCGAGAGGGGAGTAAGGAAGTGAGCAAGGGAAAGAAACGGATAAAGGCGAGTATATATATGTGTATATATAGAGAGAGTCACGGAGAGGGAGAGGGTGAGCGGGAAGGCGAGAGAAGTAACTATATTGGAAGGAATATGTGCATCCGTGTGTGTGTGCGTGTGCCGTTTGTGCCGTACGTGCGTTTGTCTGCGCGTGTGTACTGCGTATGCGTGTGCACATCTCCGTTCGCATTCCTCCCTCCCTCTGTCCCTCCCTCCTTTCGCTCCTCTTCCCTTCCTCCTTCCCTCTTTCTTTTTTTCTTTCGTTCTTTCTCTCTCTCTCCTCCGTCTCCGCTTTCATTCACTCTCTCACTCACTCTTTCTGCCTCTCTCTTTTTTTCCATATATCTCTTGCTGACTTTCTTTCTCCCCTTCTCTCACCGTCTCTCTCGTTCACTTTCCCTCCCCCCTTCTCTCTCGATATATATATGTATATATCTTCTCACCACCTCTTGTTGTTTCTCGTTTATCCTAGCTCCCATCCTCCACTCTCCCACATGGTATCACCTACGACCTCGTTAGCACGGAAAACTTTATGCAGGCAAAATAGCCATTTTTCAACAAAAACTTTTTCACCCCGAAGGACAAAATATGGATATACGGCTATAATACATATAACATATATCCATATAATCAGGAGTAATTCGATAATAATATCCATATAATCCTATATTATCTTACTCCTGATATAATATATAGTATATAAAGAACACGTCATTTTTCTATATTGGGGGCGCCCGTTAGCGAGGCCAATGACGTATTATGAATTACGTATTACGTTTTTTGAGTAGCGAGTAGNCCTTCATTCTCCGTTATCACCTACCAACGCCACGTTTGCAGGTAACATAATTAATATGGTGTAATGATAAACGCTTTGCGCATGTAATGCTATAAATAACACTGTTATTTAATTAAATACAGCTCAGTGATAAATGTGCTTTATATAAAAGTTATTTGAAAGACAGGCGAATGGGCCGTCTGTGCGCGCTTAAGTACAGTTCTCATTTAAATTCCTCCCTAAACAACAAGCAGGCGCGAGTTCTGCGTATCTCCCTCGCTGTTTCCTTCAGTTAGTTTAAAATAAATTACGTTATAGTGGACAGCGAAATCAACCACCGATCCATCTAACCACACCCACTCGCCTGTTATATATATATATATATATTTACACTTTCCTACTTTACACACATTACTACGGTGCGATTTATTTGACCGCGTCATCATTGTTTTACAGATACCGAGTACAGAGGTGAGCTTCGCTACGTGGATATGGCCCAAGTCTTTGTCAAGGACATTTGGCGTTCTATGTAAGAAGACGAATAAGGGGAGGAGAGGGAGGAGGAAGAATAAAACGGCGAAGAATAAGCAGGAGAAGAAGAAAGGGAGAAGGAATGAGAAGATGAAGACAAAGAAGAAAAGGAGTAGTAGGAAGACGAGGAGCATCAAAAGTTGTGCTTCAGCCAATCACTGTACCACTGTCAACAGGCGAGATCAACTGACTGAATCGTTGCAACGAACACTTAAGAGCGATATAACAGCTCACCAGCTCTACAAAAACTGGCTTCTTTCTGGCGAGATCTATGACACGTGACATCCTTCTTCGCCAGTCAGTACTCCATTTTCTCTCGGAGTGTCTCATGGAATGTGCAAGGTTTCCTTTACTCTCCGTTATCGCCTATACAAGCGCCACGATTACAGGTAACATATAGAGTAATGATAAACGCATTGCGCATGTGATGCTATAAATAATACTGTTATTAAATACAACTCAGTGATAAATGTGCTTTATATAAAAGTAATTAAGTTCTTTGAAATACAGGCGAATGGGCCGTCTGTGTTCGCTTCAGTACAGTTCTCATTTAAATCCGTCACATCTCAAGCAGGCGTGAGGTGTGCGTATCTTCCACACTGTTTCCTACAGTTAATTTTAAAATAAATTACATTGTAATGTACGGGGAATCCATCGACCCATCCATCTAACCACCCACTCACCCACCCTCCTGATTTTGATTTTTTCAAGGACATTGACATTTTGTGTAAGAAGACGACGAAGGGGAGGAGGACGAGGAGGAAGGAGAAGAAGAAGACTAAAACGAATAAGAACATGGAGGAGAAGGATGAGAAGGAGGAGGAAAACTGTCAGCAAGCGAGATCAACTGACTGAATCGTTGTAACAAACACTTAAGATGTACAGATCAGCAGATCGGGTGGAGGAACTTGGAATACTATAGATATTACAACTGTAGCCTCACTATGTAAAAGATGGTAGTAAATCTCCAGAGAGAATTCTGACAGTGATATATATATATATGTTACGTTATGTTATGTTCCGATACTCATGTCGATTTGAGCTGTTCTACTTGGAATATAATGACAAGGTATTGTGTAAACTCCTTCGTGGCTGTCATCGCAACAAATTATCTCTACATATCTTGGCAGATAACATGCGTGATAACGTGTTCAAATTCTCCTCCCGTTTATTATTACGGTCCGGGGTAGTCTGTCTGTGAGTGACATGGAAAAAACTAAACGTATATAGTGCAGTATAACGCAAATAGTTTATCACATCATAAGTGATTCGTACGTGGAATTATTGCTGTTGTTTTTGTTTACTATATGCACCTGTTGTTTGAAGATAGAGAATATTTCCTAAAAGCTTAGTATTGGTTTCGGTCTCTGACAAGTATTGGAACATAACGTAACATAACGCAGCTTAATGTAGCATGAAAAACGTTTAATAGTGAACTGATACCTGAATGAATCTATAGCGCCATG